CTACCTCAAGCAGTACAACATTCACTTCAAGATGTACCACTCCACTACGGATCGGCCTGGCGCAGGCGGGGTTGCCATCCTGATTCCGTGGCACGACCCCAACACCGTGGCGTCTGCTGGCGCTGGCGGCCTGCCCAGCGTTCGGCATCATACTTTGGAGAGGGGCCGTGCAACGATATCCACGATTACGCACCCAAGCACCACGTGCGCCATCAAGATCGTGAACGTACACAATTTTGATATTTCGGCCGAGGGGAAGGAACGGACCCGACGAGCTTGGAGGGAAGCGGCTCTGTGGGCCCATGGGGATCCCCTTCTAAGGACCTTTTATCGCCGCAGGCGACTTCATCAACATGACGGACGCCCCCTCGGAATCACTGTTGTTCCCGCTTCCCCGACAGGCGCAAAGATCTGATGCAGGGAGGGCCAACATGGACCGAACCGTTCTGGAGGGATTTGTTTAACAACCCTCACATGCTCGAGATCTCCTCTCCATTGCCAACGCATTTCGCGAAGGACACTGGGACGCTGCGGACCATCGACAGGTATTTCGTCTCGCTCGAATCGTCGTTTGCGGCGGAGACCGAATGCGACATGCAGGTGGTCTACGACGCCGTTACGCTGGACACGAAGAGGCTCAGCGATCACGCGATCCTCAAGCTCTAGCTGCAAACGCGGACACCTACGCCGCCACAAAACCGGAGAATCCCGACATTCATTTCCAAGAGCTCGGAGTACAAAGCAATATTGGCACGATGTCTCGAGGGCTGCAGCTTCGAGTTCAAACCTATTTTCGAGCAGTGGGCCATCGTTAAGAGCATGATGGCGCTGGCAGCGAAGATGGCGCCCAACGAGCTCCAGTCCAAGGCAGGCTCCTATGATGCGGAAGTTGGAAAACAGGCCCAGCTACTCACGCTGAACTCGATTGCGAGAGCAGTCTGGCGCCAAGATGTCCGGCTGGCCAGGCGCCTCATCAACGGCGCGCCCATCGGCGCTGCGGAACTCGGCATCGACGACGTCCACGTCTACCTCCTGCGCCCCGACAGCTTCCACGAGAAGGCGCGAGAGGCCCAGGCCGCCCTGCTGGAGAGGGAAACGGCCGCCTTATCGACCAGGCGCCGCAACCGGCCACCGAAGCGTTGCGCAGAGGTCATGATCAGGCGAGCGCTCCTCTGGAAGGAGAACGCTGGTGCTGGCTGGCGTCCGACACGCGCAACCGCGAGGAGAGAACAGCGTGGAAAAGATCGTCGTGCGGGATCCCTCGGACGTGATTGCGGTGCTGAAGGCGCACTGGCAGCCCGTGTTCACCGCGAAGCCCGTCGAGGAGCATCTGATTGACCCTTTTTCGGATAAGTATATGCCCTCTCGGGGTAACTCTCTGCTCCCTCTCCCCTCTCTCGCTGATCTTCGTCTCGCTTCTAGGGAAGCCCGCGACTCTGCTCCCGGGCCAGATCGGCTCCCTGCTCGGGCATGGCGTGGCCATCCCATCCTTACTGAAGTTCTGCACGGGGTTCTGTGCCGCATGGCCGATGGAAGTCACCCGCCGCCTTACTTTAATGACTGTTTGCGTGCGTTTCTCCCTAAGGGCGAGGAGGCAGCGGATTTGGTCGAATGCACCCTGGTTCCGGAGTGCATTCGGCCGCTGGCCTTAAAGAACTCCGACAGCAAAGCCGTTACCGCAGCTGTCAATACCCATCTGTCGCGAGTTGTAGCCAAAGACACCCATGGAGCCCAGAAAGGATTTGTCCCAGGAAGGAAATTTGGAGAGCACATCTGTGCCTTCGACGCCGAATGTCGGCGTGCTGGCCTCCTTCCTGGTGCTGACAAGAGGCTCCCTGGTTTTCTTAGTTTTGATGTTAAGGCTGCCTTCCCGAGCATGTCCCAAGTCTTCCTCCGTCGGGCCATTGAGCGCTTCTCTCTCCCCGACGGCTTGCACACGAAACGGTAGGATACGCGCGGGTTGGCTCATACCTCGAGCCTCTTTTCCCCATCACGTCAGGCGTACCACAAGGTTGCCCACTTTCGGGGAGTCTTTGGGCTTTGGGGTTCGACCCCTGGGTCAGGTGCCTGTGCGAGGCCCTTCCGTCGGAAGATGTGGGGACCTTTGGGGGGTGCGCCGATGACGTAGGGGTAGCTGCCATGGATATTTCTTGCCTGCCGCATCTTCACGCCACCTTTCAGCAGGCTGAGGCGCTTGCCGCACTCCAACTCCAACCAGCGAGATGCTGCTTTGTTCCCCTGTGGGCACCGTGTGATGAGCACGCCCGAGCTCAAGCGAGGGAAGCGCTTGCACAACACGCGCCTGGATGGGAAAGATTCCGGATCGAAGGCGCGACAAAATATCTAGGAGTAGTGATCGGTCCGATGGCAGGTCTCGAGGCTCAGTGGAAGGGCCCTGGACAAAAGTGGTGGTCTCGATGTCGTGAAGTTGCTTAGTCCAGGACCCCAGCTGAGGCCTCCATTCGTCTTTACCTCATGGTCATTCTCCCTTGTCTCTCGTACGTTGCCCAGTTCTTTCCTCCTGACCCCCGCCTCCTTGCCAGAGAAAGTCAGGCACTGCACAAATTGCTTCGGCTCCCGCCGAATTCATTCCGCGCTGCCGAGCTGCTGGGGGTCGGGAGGTGGTTGACCTCCGCTGCACCCTCGCCTATCGACGCCACCTGCATGGCGAATGCTTGGCGTGCCAGCCGCTACACTTTCGGGGGGTGGCGGGTGTCCGGGGAGAGGCTTCGGGCGGCTGCGCACGAGCACGGGTTTGTCACTGACTACGTTCGCCTTGATTGGTCGCCGCGATTTTGGCAGCGGCGCCAGGCAATAGTGCAGTACTATCTTTCATTTGACCTCCCGCCCACCAGCGGCAGGATCCCGAGGTCGGCCATCCAGGCGGCAGTCGCGGCTGCCACCTCGCCTCCGTCTGCGGTGGGGTCGTCGCCTGCGGTGCAGAGAAAGCGGGTCCCGCGCCCTCAGACCCTCTTCCTACGCTCTCTGTGCTCCTCTCTTTACCCTGACGCCATCCCAGATTTGATTGCGCGTCGTTTCCGAAAGTGGTTTCCGGAACGTCCCGAAGTTGGGCGGCCTGACATTGCATTGAGGTGGGCGAGGCTCAAAGACACCCTCCAGCACCTCGCACCCTCACGGATTTGGCCTCATTTAAAGACACTCGCTGGTGCATGGATCACGTCTGCCCGGGTAGGGATTCTCACACCTAAAGGATGCAGATTCGGCTGCACTGATGATGTCTGGGCATAGAAGTGCGTGCTCCAGATTCCATTGGACATTACCTTCATTGCCCCCACCTCGCTCACCTCCTCGCCCCCCTCCGCGCCATAATTCCGATTGATCCCATCATCCGTCTGGGGCTCGGCCCAGAGTCCGCATATAATGTAGCCGGAGAGTACGAGTCTCTCACTTTAGCTCGTGCCAATCATCTGACGGTGCTAGCTCTCCATATTTACCACACATTTCGTGCAGAGCTTCAGCAAGCTCCACACTTAGAAGGCAACTATAATGCTACCTTGCGGATCCGTCACGCCGCGCTCGTCGCGACCGACGGCCAGGCCATTGCTCATGCTCCTGGGCATCGCGATGTCGTTCCACAGTCTTGATTGTAGTCTGACCCGCCCCCCCCCCCCTGGTGACGTGCGCTCCTCCTCCCTCTCCTCCACCTCCTCCCTCCTCCTCCTCATTTCTCCTCCTCCTCCTCCTCCTCCTCCTCCTCCTCCTCCTCCTCCTCCCCTCCTCCTCCCCCTCCTCCTACTCCTCCTCTTCCTCCGCCCCTCCCTCCTCCCCTCCTCCTCCTCCTCCTCCTCCTCCTCCCCTCCTCCTCCTCCTCCCCTCCTCCTCTGCCTCCTCCTCCATCCTCCTCTGCCTCCTCCTCCTCATCCTCCTCCTCCTCCTCCTCCTCCTCCTCCTCCTACCTCTCTCCTCCTCATCATCATCATTCATCAATCATCTCATCCCATCCTCACACCCTCATCCTCATCCTCCTCCTCTCCTCCACCTCCTCCTCCCTCCTCACTCCTCCTCCCTCCTTCTCCTCCTCCTCCTCCTCCTCCTCCTCCTCCTCCTCCCATCTCGCCTCCACCTCCCTCCTCCTCCTCCTTTTCCCCTCCTCCCTCCGCCCTCCTCTCCTCCTCCCTCCTCCCTCCTCCCCCTCCTCCCTCTCCCGCCTCTCCTCCCTCCTCCTCCTCCCTCCTCCCTCCTCCTCCTCCTCCTCCTCCTCCCTCCTCCTCCTCTCCTCCTTCTCCTCCTCCCCTCCTCTCTCTACCTCCTCCTCCTCCTCCTCCCCTTCCTCCTCCTCCTCCTCCTCCTCCTCCTCCTCCTCCTTCGCCCACTCGGCGAGGACCATCCAAGAGGCATCCTGGACCATCGTGGGGAAGATGCATGCGCGAAACATCGAAGCATGCACGGGACATGGACGTCCGAGCGATGGCCAGTTTCCAGGCAGCTCCCCTCCTCGCCCCCAGCCACCTCCAGGTAGCGCGCGATGGCCCCCCCTCCGCTCTCGGCCGCAGAGGGCGCGGGCGAGCCCGCCCCCCAGATCCGTTCTGATCCGATCGGTGCGATCCGATTGCGGCTTCCCCCTGTCCGACCCGGTTCGATTCCGATGCACTCAGCGACGACCCGATGCAGCCTGGTGCCTGCGCGGCGCTGCTGTGCATGGCGCGGCCGATTGGATTCGATCCCGACTCCGTGCAGATGCAGCCCGCTTCAATTCATGCAGGCCTAGGACTGGGACTGGGACAATCGCTGCAGAACTTTCCGAAACGATCTGACAGCGTTCCGGAGAGGGTCTTGAAACGCTCCGAGTAGGCTGCGGCGCCCGACGCGTCGCTCAGATCCGCCAGATCTCAGGGATCCCCGACTTGTCCCGATCCAATGTTTGTCCCGATCCTGCCTCCATGTTGACGGTGCTCGATCCGATCCCGGCGGGGTCCGGTGTGTCGATGCCAAGCGAGGCCGGCCGCTCTCTGCCCCGCCCCGCCCCCCACCGCCGCGAGAACCCCGAGAAGCCGCTCCTGGCGGTGAAGGAGGCGGGCACGTCGCCCGGCCGCGAGAGCACGCTGCCGAGGCCCAGGCGCTCGCCGCATGCCTCCCTTCGGTCGCAACTTGAAAGATGGGGAAAAGTCCGAGGCGGGGATTTATACATGACCACCGCCTGGAGGATCAATTCTTGGAGACCTCGGCAGGCGTTGGATATGGCTACATTCTGGCCCCTGGGGGCCCAAATATCCATATCCACCGCCCGCTGGGGCACCAGGACGTCGGTTCCCAGGCGGTGGATATTGATTAATGCCCGCCTCGCAAAAAGGTACCCATACCTCTACCCTTCCCTCGTTTTTTCCCCTTATTGGGCCTTCTGGGAGGCTCTCGTCGCCACCGCTGGATTCGCCTCGGAATCCTGGTCAGAACGCACCACGGGAGAGGTCCGGGGAGTCGCGGTTTCAGTGCCTTTTGGTCTCTCCCCAAATCATGGGAGCCTTGCGTACCCTTGCAATTCTGCCTTCAGAGCGCATTAGCGTGCGCTAGCGTCGGGCAGTCGATGAGGAAGCGCCGGTTTCGCGTCGCTTAGCGTCGACTTTGCGTCGACCAGGGCCGATTTAGCGTCGACAAGCGTCGATTCGCAAGAGCCAACAGGATGGTATGGGAGGCTCCCATGAGTGGCCACCGAGTCTTCCCAGACAGCCCAACATCTGGCGTACGGGCAAGACTCTGAGATAAGGGCCACCTTTGGCTCAGGACGGGCTCTGGCCTCGCGCCGTTCCTTTGATCGAGGTAGCGGAGCCTTGGCGTATGAGTTGCCACCGAGTCTTCCCAGACGGACCAACATCTGGCGTACAGGTGATCGTTGTTTATTCATTGTTTTGCTTATCGGCGCGGGCCCCAAACCCCCCCCCCCCCCTGCAGTGGATCTTGGCTCTTTTTGGCGCCCGTCTCGAGCAGGTGGAGCCTCTCCTCCCCCAGAGGACGCACGGTCCCAAACAGCCGCATTCAGCAGAGGTCCGGAGCCAGACCCTCCCACCTCCCCCACCCCTTCCGCCCAATGTCGAGACGCCGAGTAAAACAAAACGCCCACCAGGCAAGATTCCGAGATGAGGACCCGCAAACCTATGGCCCAGGGAGGGGCTCTGGCCTCCGGGGCCGTTCCTTTTGGTCGAGGTCGGGGAGCCTGACGGCGTGGCCTGGGCTCGCCGTGGCCAGAGAGGCTCGTGCGTGCCTTGTTCGCCGCCCTCCGCATCCCTCCCATCGGCACGATCGACAAAAACGCACACACACACACACACACCCACGCACGCACGCACGCACGCACGCACCCACGCACGCACCCACGCACCCACGCACGCACGCACGCACGCACGCACGCAGCACACGCACACGCACACGCACACGCACACGCACACGCACACGCACACGCACACGCACACGCACACGCACACGCACACGCACACGCACACGCACACGCACACGCACACGCACACGCACACGCACACGCGCACACGCACACGCACACACGCACACGCACACGCACACGCACACACACGCACACGCACACGCACACACACACGCACACGCACAGACACACGCACACGCACAGACACAGACACAGACACAGACACAGACACAGACACAGACACAGACACAGACACAGACACAGACACAGACACAGACACACACACACACACAAACACAAACACAACAACAAAAAAAACACACGCACAACACACAACACACAGTGTGTGTGTGTGAATTGTGTGTGTGTTTTTTTGTGTGTGTGTGTGTGTGTGTTGTTTTTTTTCCCCCCCACAGTGTGTGTTTGTTTCCCACAGTGTGTGTTTTGTTTGTGTGTGTGTTTTTGTTTGTTTGTGTGTGTGAGAGTTTTTTTGTGTGTGTGTGTGTGCGTGTGTTCTTTATGATCGTTTCGCTATTCATTGTTTTGCCGATCGGCGCGGGCCCCCACCCCCCCCTCTCCCCCCCCTCTGGAGTAGATCTTGGATCTTTTTTGGCGCCCGTCTCGAGCGGGTGGAGCCCCCCCCAGATGCAGCACTCTTGCAAACAGTCGCACTAAGCAGAGGTCTGGAGCCAGACCCCCCTCCTTCCGCCCAATGTCGAAACGCCGAATAGAAAAACGCTCACCATGGGTACGGAAAGAATGGGGAGGAAGACCGACAGCAATTATTCAGATTAGGAAGAGGCACAGACAACGCCACACTTGCTCTGTGTTCGCCTTTGGGGGCCTCCTGGGAGGCCGTCGTCGCCACCGCTTGATTCGCTTCGAGATTCTGGTCTGAACGCACCTTGGGAGAGGTCAGGCAAGTTGCGGTATCGGTATCCTCCCGTTTCCCCTGAAACCTGTACGTACAAAATTGAGACGAAGACCGCCAGAAATTTCTGCCCATTTTGAATAGGCATGCGTCGTCGCTGTCGATGTCGCCACGTAAGTTGTCAAGTTTGAGGCAGACAGCCGCTTGCCAAACAGCGGCCGCTGGCGGTGTTGTACCACGCTTACTATTGGGCATCGTGTTGCCCAGTTTCGTCGTATCTATATCGGGCGTGCCAATGCCCAGACATTCGAACATCTAACGCCTCGGAACAATCCCAGATTCCCCCCTCAATAACTGGCCGCTCAGTAATACATATTCCGACGGTATGACCCCACCTGCTAATCTTTTCAGCTTACCCTTCACCCTTCACCCGTCGCCCTAGCGGACATCCTCCTCTCGCCCTGCGCTCGGCTCTCTCCTCCTCCTTCTATCTATCCTCCTCCTCCTCCTCCTCCTTCTCCACCTCCTCCTCTTCGTCGCCCCCCCTCTACCCCTTCCCCCCTCCTCATCCTCCTCCTGCCGCTTCTCTATGTGCACCTCCCCTTCCCCCTGGTCGGGGCAAGCACGTCGATTTTTTTCGGCACCGTCGCCGCCTCGGCCAACGCGCGCGCGTTCGCCGACGGCTAGATCGCGAAGCCTTTGGGGCAACCCCGCGGGCCATGCCTTTGGGACAACCCCGCGGGCCGTTGGGGCGCGAGGCCAGGCCGTCGGGACAACCCCGCGAGCCAGACCGTTGGGACAACCCCGCGGGCCTCTAGGTTCGCGCCGCGGCGCTCAGGCGGGAGGCAGCACGAAGCCAAGCTCCGCGGCGAGCTGCTCGGTCTCGTCCCTGGAAGTCTTCGCTTTCTCATCGAACTTTTTGAGCGCCTCCCGCAAGGACACCGGCGGCCCGCGCTCCAGAAACTCGAGCGAGGGCGGCCGCAGGATCAGCATGCGCGCTCCAGAAACTCGAGCGAGGGCGGCCGCAGGATCAGCATGTTCCGCATGCGCGTGGCGCGGGAGAACATGACGTAGAGGTGCAGCCGCCACTGCTCGTCCGACATGCCCGTGCGGCCAGCGTTCTCGTCCCTCGCGCATGACGCTATTGCGCAGCGTCTGGCCCTGCGACAGCGTGGAGGTCAAGTAGGACGCGTGCGTCAGGGTGGACCCCGAGCGGCGCACATTGTGCGTCCCCGAGCTCTGCCACGTGAGCTCCTGCTCGCTGGGCCTGAACATGAGCAAGCCCCTCGCCCGAAACTTCCTCGCAAGTCATTCACAGACGAGGCTCCCGCCTGAGACTTGCTCGATATTCAAGCTTGGGGAGCCCGAGAGCGACGACAATTACAAGTTTTCGGATGGCCCGCCTCGGATGACCAACTTGAAGTGAGGGCCCCATAGGGAGGGCCTCCCGCCGCAGACGCCCTCGCAATGCACTCGCAGGCAAACTCCCGCTTGATACTTCCTCCAAATTCACGCCTCAGGAACCCCAAAGTGACGACAGTTACGCGTTTCGGATGGCCCGCCTCGGATTCGAACGTGAAGTGCGGGCCCCACAGGGAGCGGCTCCCGCTTGAGATTTCTTCGCAATACACTCACAGACGAGGCTCCCGCTTGATATTCCCTCCAGACTCACGCCTCAGGAGGCCAAAAGTGATTACAGTTACACGTTTCGGACGACCCGCCTCGGATTCAAGCAGGAAGTGCGGGCCCCATAGGGAGGGGCTTCCCGCCTGAGACGTCTTCGCAATGCAGTCACAGACGAGGTTCCCGCTTGATACTTCCTCCAGAGTTTCGCCTCAGGGGCCCAGAAGTGACGACAGTTACACGTTTCGGATGACCACCCTCGGATTCGAACATGAAGTGCGGGCCCCATAGGGAGGGGGCTCTCGCTTGGGGCTTCCCCGCAATTCACTCACAGACGAGGCTGTCTCATGGTCGATGATCATGATGGGATGGTGGTGATGATGATGACGATGCTGATGATGATGATGGTGATGGTGATGATGATGGTGATGATGATGATGATGACTATGATGTGATGACGACGGCTTGCGATGCGGATGAATGGTTGGTGATGATGATAAAGAGGATGATGATCGTGGTGATGATGAGTGATGATGACGATTGTGATGTTGATTATGATGATGATGAGTGGGTGAGTGAGTGAGAGATCGAGCGATGATGGTAGTGATGCTCAGGATGATGATGCTGACTGATGATGGTTGATGATGATGATGATGATGATGACGGCGAGAGAGAGGGAGAGAGAGAGAGGGGGGGTGGGAGGATTGCGCGGGGTGTCCAGAGAAAACGAACACCCCATCCAGGATGTGGGCAACAAGTGTGGGATATACCACCAGGGGGCTGTTCGGACGCTCCTCTATCGCGGATGGACGCTCCCCATCGTATATCCCCGAGTTGTGCGCCAAATGATTTGGCCCCTCGAAAGTCCCACTTAAATCGGAAGTCGGGAATTGGGGTCGCCAAGCTTCTTGTCACAACGGGTGGCAGCGCTAACTGGGGTCGGCCAGTACCCTCTGGAACCCTCTGGTGGGTCCAGGTGTTGGGGGTCACGCGGAGCCGACCATGACTTTGACAGTATCCGTGTAGCCGCGTGTTAGATGGAGGGCTTGTCGATTGTAAGACATGGGGGGCAGTTTACACGGCTGCTGACGACATCGGGGTTGACCGCATCAGCGTCAGCAACGTACAGCCGCACACGTCCCGCGATAGTGCTGGCCCCCATTGGACGGGCAATACGCTTGCTGACGCCCGTGTGCAGAGAGTGGCGGCCTTGCACGAGTTTGAAGGTCCGATGTTCTAGTTGCTTCCATTTGCAGTATCTGAGCTTTATCATGGCTTGAATGTTTGAGGAGACTCCTCGGTCCCAGTGTAATGCTGAAGCGTCCCAACCTTTTTGTACCGCATCCATTTGACCCGCGCACGTTCGATATGGCACCAACCCCTTTTGGGATTTCGAGGTTGGGCGGATCTGGGCGGTATAGATCTTCGGCCGACTGGAGCAGTACGCTAGATACATGTTTCTTCGCCCCAATTACGTGCCCCACTCCCAAAAGGAATGGACATTACATGAGGCGTCTTGGACCTATTGTGTTCTGTAGTCGGTGCGGGTTCAATTCCACCCGTCATGCTTCAACGCTACGTGAATGGTGGCCCTCTCACCCGCAACCGCCAGCAACTGGTGGATGCGTGTGGGCCGACACTCTCGAGAAGGAACTTGTGGATCGGGCGTCACCTTTGGTGCCTGCCTCGATGTGAACTATACTACATTCGCGGACCCCTCTCACCAGACTCTACTGCGAGGCATGTGGTGGGTGGGGAGCCGCGTTGGGCACTATGACGAGACCTGGCGAGGGGAGAGTTGCGGGGGCCCTGATCCAATCCATGATGGCACTCTAGAGCGCGTGCCATCCTCGGGCGTGCAATCTTTGCCCAGTGCCGCCGTACTCCGAACGCAGACCCAGGTCCCCTGAGCAGCATGCCGGTGCGCCTCCCAGTGCTCCTCGCGTTTGCTCGCTCCTCGGGTGTTGCTAGGAGTGCCCCTGGAGCCCTCTGGGCCTCGTAAGGGGTGCTCTGGAGGCCATCTGGGCCACCCCGAGAATAGTCCTGGGGGGACCTTGGGCCAGGGACACTTCTAGCAACACCCGAGCTCCTGCTGGCCGCGCCGTGCGTGGGCGAGTGCGACGCCGCGGAGGAGGCGTGCGAGGACGTGGTTATGCTCCAGGCCGCGACGGTGACTGCCGCGTATCTCGCGGCGGCCACCTCGTCCACGAAGCGACGACGGGAAGGAGTGTGAGACGATCGGCGGCCACATGTGAACCCTACCCCCACCCCCCACGATTCCTAGGGGGGTCACTTCGTTCGGAAGCTCCCGAGTGGAGTGAACCCCCACCCCTCCTTAGAAATCGTGTGTGTGGGGGGGGTCGGGTTCACATGGGGCCACCTAGACCAGTGCCTCAAGTACCTCCAGCGCTGTGGAGTCGTGCGTGGCGACGGCGGCGTGTGCTGTGAGGGGCTGGTATTTGCGCAGGAGTCATGGCGGGATTTATTCATTCTTCCTCAAAGGTGGTCCGTGGTTCCATTGGCCCCAACTGAAGCGCAAACATTGTCCTTCCTCCCCCTCCTCCTCCTCCTCCTCCTCCTCCTCCTCCTTCTCCTCATATTCCTCCTCCTCCTCCTCTTCGTCCTCATCCTTATCCTCCTCCTCATCCTCATCCTCTTCCTGTTGCTGCCCCGAGCGCGGGCAGGGTCGCCAGCGAGCATCCTGGCAGTCAGTTTCTGGCATTGGGTGCTCGCGCGCGGCGCTGATTATTTTGCGTGGCCCCCCCGCCCGCGCGCAAGGCCGCCAGCTTTGCCACGGCCCGCCGTCATTTCTGTACTCCCGGACGCCCCCTGCAGTAGATTATTCTTTTCTCTCCTTCCCTCGCCTCCCCCTCGAACCTCTCGCCTCCTATTCCATGCGCGCACACCCTTGGGCGACCGATCAGACGAGCGTGTGCCAGGCGGGCGCGTCTCTGCCGCGAGGTCCTGGCGGTGTCTTGAAGAGGCGTTCGTTTATTGGGCCCACGCCAAAAACGGTTGTCTCGTTCTTCTCTCAGCAGCTGGCCAGGGACGGCCACCGCGCCAGATTGCCATCAACATCCACCGCACAGGCAAGGGAATCATGGCTACGACATGGGGGCATTGGGGCGGGTGGCAAAGCTTCCCCCGAAGAAAAATATCGAGGTTGGGGGAGGGAGCTAGCTGAACCACTTACGCCGGGAGGGCTGGCGGGACAGCATTTATTCCTCGCACCACCCGGCGCTTCGGTAAGGCGGGCCAGGCTTTTCGATGTTGTCTTTCCTAACCATGACGTGGTCTTAAAGCTGGGGCCCGCCATTCTTTTGCACGCACGCAATGCTCTTCTACATGTATGTATATGTGTATATGTGTATGTATGTACATATATGTATATATGTATATATAGATATGTGCATGCAAATGTATATGTGTATGTGTATGTATACAGACATATGCACATGTATATATATATAGTATTGGGCTCTCTTTTCAGCGCATGGGCGCTTGCTCTAAACGCTTCCAGCAGTCACGCGGGTGCAGGGCGGCATGTTTTCACAATGTGGCGGTCGCCTGCGCGCCGCGCGCACTTGTGACCCAATAGCTACCGAGAAGTTCGCAGAGGGATATCCGCAGAACGCCGAAAGTCTCCATCTCCCACCCGCCTTCCCACCATCTGAGTATCATGCGGAATTCAGCAGAAGGCAGGGGTCGCCATGGGATTGGCAGCCCTGGGAACCAATACAAACGTCGGGTGTGCGATGCTCACGAGGTGCGCCACGCGTGCCAGTTACGTCGCGCGCACAACTAGCGCCATACGCCCGACAGGCCCAAGTGTGCCAGGCGTGCCATGCACGCCTGGTGTGCTATAGGCGCCACGTGCGCCACGCGTGGCACATACTCCAGCCGCGCCACGGGCGCCAGGTGCGCGACGCATGCAGGGTGCGACAAATGCACTGGTGCACGTGACAGCACACATCGGGCAATCTGTTGACACTCCCACCATCCTGGTCAAAACCACTGGCTAGTTGCGGCGGGGTAGTCGGCATGGTTTATGGGGTGTCTATGTGCACCCGCGAACTGTGCCAGCGTATAGCCCGTACGAACACGGCGCCACCCCTGTGACCCCTCTCATCAAACAACGCAACATGCTCGTTGTTTCTGGTCGGCGGCCGGCCGAATGGCGGAGAAGGTGTTCATCAAGAAGGAGCAGTGATGAGAGCTCGGGGTGCAGTCCTGTGCCACCTGCTGCCCAGAGAGGGCCTCAGGGTTCACTGCTGTGGTTTGGGCATGGCGCGGCCGGGTCGGAGATATGATGGCAGATGTGCATCTCGAGGCGCACGTGGGGGCTCCCACCACGCGCAGGCCCACCGATGGCCCTCGCTTCCTCATGCGGGGGCCCGACCCAAGGTCTGTACCTGACTTTTTCTGCAAGGGCGAGGAGACTTACAGTCAAGACGCTGAGATAAGGACTACTTTGGGCTCAGGGGAGGCCCTGGTTTTCGGGCCGTTCCTTACATCTAGGTCGATGCCGAAGAGCTCTACGAGGTATTTCAGAGCCAGAACCGGGCGCTGAAGCATTGGAGGACCGAAACGCCGCCGACCCGGGCCCCGCCGCTTTACCTATGTGTGGCCCAGCCTCGCCGGGTCCAGAAAAGGCCTTCCGTTCTTTATCCAGCGTTTCTTATGATAGCGCGAGGACTGCACTGCAGCATCAGGTGGCGTGGGCTGGGTTTGAGCTGGTCCTCACTCCCTCCTTCTCCCCTCCCACCCCCTCCCTCCATCCTCTCCCTCCCATCCTCGCTCCCTCCCTCCCTCCCTCGCCCCTCCCTCCTTCCCCACGCTCCCAACACCGTGACGTTCTCGCAGCGGGACACCTTTTCCTCTGAACCGTTTGCTCATCCCGAGCCGTCTCTGCTGACGGCCCTGGGGCTCGGTGAGGGCCCCCCCGTGGGCCGCACGCCGCGAAGCACATCCGTCGTTTTTTTTTTTTCTCCACGACGCGAGGGAGTCTGAGCCCGCTGCCCTCCCTCCTCCCCTCCCTCCCCTCCCTCCCCTCCCTCCCTCCCCTCCCCTCCTCCCCTCCCTCCCTCGCCTCCCCCTCCCTCCCTCCCTCCACAATTACTCAATATGAATACTACTCTCCCTCTTCCCCTGATGACGGTTTGAAAGTATTAGCCCCCCCGCGTACTGTTTCTTTACACACAGGGTTCCCCGGAGTTGGGTTTTCGCTTGCATTTTTGTTCCAAAATGCTGCTCTCGCTGAGGCGCCGGTCTCATTTACGGGCCCCGCTCGTTCCGAATCGTGCTCCCGCTGCAGCGCTGGCCTCATTTCCGTGCTTCCGCTCGTTCCGAATCGTGCTCCCGCTGCAGCGCTGGCCTCATTTCCGCGCTTCCGCTCGTTTCGACTCGTGCTCCCGCTGCAGCGCTGGCCTCATTTCCCGTGCCATGCCACGGCATGCAATGCAATGCTAGGTTGATGCTACGCTTTGCGGTGCTCTTCTACGCCATGCCATGCCGTGCTCTACAATGCATCGCGTACCCTTTCGGGATCATTGCCCTGCTCGACATCCGACTGTGCGAGTAGAGAGGGGATCTACGCCATGGTAAGGGATGGGAGGGAGGGGTAGGATGTCAGATATGACGCGAGCGCACCTAGCTTGCCTCCCTCCCTCCCTCCCTCCCCTCCCTCCCTCCCCTCTCCCTCCCTCCCCTCCCTCCCTCCCCTCCCTCCCTCCCCTCCCTCCCTCCCCTCCCTCCCCTCCCTCCCTCCCTCCTCCCTCCCCCCCAACACCCGCCCAACCCCACCGCCCAGGAGCCTGAGGCGCAGCGGCCGCCGCAGCGTGTCGCGCAAGTCGAGGACCAGGCCTGCCCCCTGCCTTACCCCTCGAGACGGCGCAGCAGCCCCGGATCCGCCCAGAGGGGAACGCCCGGCCCACTTCTCAGGGACGGGGAGGAGGAGAGGGAGGAGGTGGAGGAGGGGAAGGAGGAGGTGGAGGAGGGGAAGGAGCAGGAGGAGGAGGAGGAGGAGGAGGAGGAGGAGGAGGAGGAGGAGGAGTGGAGGAGGAGGAGGAGGAGGAGGAGGAGGAGGAGGAAAAGGAGGAGGAGGAGGATGGGAAGAAGGACATGTGACGATGGTAATGATTGTGATGATTGTGGTGGATAATGCTGATGATTCGGATGATTCGAATGATGGTGATGATGATGATGATGATGATGATGATGATGATGATGACGATGACGATGACGATGATGACGATGGTGGTGATGGTGATGGTGATTGTGATGGTGATGGTGATGCTGATGATATGGTAATGATGGTGATCGTGGTACTGGATCATGGTGATGATGATTACGATGATGATGGTGGTGGTGATGATAATGATGACGATGATTACGAGCATGCTGTTGATGACGATGACGACGGCAGTGCTGCTGCTGTTGCTGATGATGATCATGTTGATGATGATGCTGATGATGATGTTGCTGCTGCTGCTGATGATGATGACGATGATGACGTCGACGGACCCCAATGATGATGTTGCTGTTGAGGATGAGGATGCTGATGCTGCTGCTGCTGCTGGTGATGACGATGACGATGACGATGCCGATGATGATGATGCTAATGATGATGATAGTGATGCTGATGACGATGACGATAATGATGCTGATTATGATGAGGATGATGATTATGTTGATGGTGGTGATGATGATGGTGATGATGATGATGATGATGATGATCATTGTGCTGATGCTGATGCTGATGATGAGGATGATGATGCGAATGTTGCTGATGATGACGAGGATGATGATGATGACCAGGATGATGTTGATGCGGATGATGACAACGATGAGGATGACGACAATGATGATGCTGCTGCTGCTGATGATGACGAGGATGTCGATGATAGAAAGTGTCACGCACAAACTGAGGAGGATGACGATGGTGATGGTGATGGTGATGATGGTGATGATGGTTATGGTGATGGCGGTAATGGTGATGAGGAAAATATGGTAATGATGGTAGTGATGATGACGACGATGACGATGCTGATGCTGATGATGCTGAGTCTGATGATGATGCTGATGATGCTGATGATAGTGGTACTGATGTTGCTGATGATAGTAATGCTGATTATGATGCTGATGATGATGATTATGATGATGATGATGATGTCGGTGATGATGATGATGATGGTGATGATGATGATGATGATGATGATGATGATGATGATGATGATGATGCTGATGATGCTGTCGATGATGCTGCTGATGATGATGCTGATGCTGATGATGGCGGTGGTGCTGGTGGTGATGGTGATGATGCTGATGCTGATGCAGATTATTCCGCCGCTGATGAAGATGATGAGGAGGAGGACGAGGAGGAGGAGGCGGGGAGGAAGAGACGGACGAGACGGGAAGCATGGGGAGGGGGTGGTGGAAGAGGAGGAGGGCGAGGAGGAGGGGGAGGAGGCTGGGAGAGGAATGGAGATTGAGAACCTTGTTCCTGATCATTTGCGCCTCCGCAAGTCTCGACATTCAAGTCACTGGTACATTTGAATTCGCATACGAGCGCCAGTTGAAAAATATCTACCTTGCGGCCCTCTGCGCAGTGCCTTCAACCCGCCAACTATGTTCAACGACTTGAGGCTGGCAGCTAGTTCAGCCCGCTGCCCTGTCCAGCACCGTGCCTATCCGCGCTAGAGTAATCAGCTTTGGCAGCCACGCATCGGGAGAGGGTGGGTGGACAGCCGAGGGCTGGGAGTCGTGGACATGACAGCCAAGAGTGCGATCCCGTCTTCTCCAGCCCGCTCGCGCAGTTTTCGTTTTGCCACGCTTGGGGGGGGGGCTTTGTTTGGCAACCTTGCAGCAAGAGGGGGGCCGATGATGGAGAGGAAGAGGAGCGTAGACCCGCAGCGCGAGGCCTCCAGGCCGTGCTCCACGGGAGCAGCTGCCCTGCGCTACAGGGAGGCCCCGTGCCGCTGTTGCGTGAGCAGGCGTGCCGCAAGTGCCCCCCCCCACCCCCCGCTCCACCCCCTTGGGCCTTCGAGGTTCCGCGTTCGCGTCGGCGGCCGCTTTGGGCAGCGCAGTTTTTAGGCGCAGCGAGTTTGGGCCACCGATTCCTGGAGGCGAGCTGCTCGTGGCGCGTTTGCGGCAGAAGCGCGTGGAAGGACAGGCCCCTTCTGTTGTTGACCCCGGGGCTGCCTGAGCGGCCCCGACGGCTCCGCGGCGGCTGCTGGCTGAGATCCGCGCCGCACTCTCCGACGCCTCTGCCGGTCCCCCCATTTGCAGCTGGCACGCGTCCAGCTTTGGATGGGGCAGCACTTTCCTTCTTCGTGCTCGGGCTGTCCGCCCTGGAATGCTTCTACACTCGGCTGCGGCATCTCCGCGGGGCCTCGCGCCTTCGGCGAAGGAGCCCGTGCTCTCGTCCGACGCTGTCGTGGCCATGCTGCGACTGCATCTCATTCACCACCCACGAAACCACCCCAACCCAACCGGAAGGCCCAGAGTTACCCTCCACTTCCAGTGGGGGGGGGGTCGGGGAGCATTGAAGAAACACATGTGGAGCCCGTACCCCCCCCCAGCCCGACATGTGGGTCTTCGGGTTGGGTTGGGGTGGTCTGGTAGGTCGTCACTCGTGTGCGGCAGGCTCGTGCCGTGTCGGCGCGGCGGCGGCCCCCGCGCGGGCGTCACCGGCTGGACGCTGCCGGCGGTCCAAGATCGGTCGACGTCGGACGGCGCGCGCGATACCTGAGAAGGCCGCGGCTGCTCCACGTTGAGGAGCGATCGAGGAGCGTGATCGTGGCGAGCGAGGAGGACCCCTCCAGTCCTTGTTGTGCGTTCCTTAAGTTCGCACGCTGACGGTAATCTCGCGGTGCAATTCCAGGCAACCCTCCGCGCGCGCCCAGCGGGGATCGGCTGCGCGGCCTCTGCAG